GAAGCACTCCGTTCGACCTCCTATTTTCTTTTATATATATATATATATAATGTTTCCAGACTTCCTCACGTCTCTGTTTCTGTTTTTCTTCATGGGTTGTTGCTGATCAATAGTGAATGACCTTTCCGGATTTGTTGCAAGGTCATTTCCAAATTTCGCTAACGACTTAAATTTTTCGTATTGAGATGGTTGTAGTGGATGCCCTTTTTCCGAAATGATGGAAAGTGCGACTTATGTCATTAAGTAAAGACTCACGAAAACTACCAACCTGCATGATCAAAATGGACTGCAATCATTCACCAGGATAGATAGTAAAAACCAGTTATTTTTCTGCCTCGTTTTCACTGCACCATGAAACGTCGGCTCAAAGTTTATCCACCGTTCTACGTATGATTTTAAGATTCTGGTCTGTATTATCAACATGACATGTTACGGGTGCAAAATACACGTAATCCATTTTGACCGTATTTAACCAGTGGATAACTAAACGACTGCAGCGCGCTGAGCGTGACCCTATTGTCCCTGCAATTTCGTTGTCGTAAAGGAAACCTATTACTCAATCATGCCATGGATAATAACATCAAAATTTTCCAATGCTCTTTACCCGCTTAACACGCGGCGGGGAAGCGAACAGCTTTTAAAGCTCGGATAACCAAACCCTCATTAGCTAACGAATTTTCACATATCGATTAGTCGATACGTGGGATTATGCTACCCAGATGGTTGTGCACGCTGCATCTAGTACATAACTAAAAACTTTAGGCGTTCACTTGGTTTGTACCGGTGCTGGAAGAAGCACAGTTTCGTGAGCACAGCGGGAACAGCATTGCTGGAGCCTTTCACGCATGTGCATGCATTTCAAGTGAACGGAATTGGCTGAATAAAAATAACAAGCGCTATCAGGGAAGTTTGGGCGAAGTTCTCGATCCCACGAATTAAACCGTGAATCTGTGAAACCAGTTAATGCACTGTTATCCACATAGATGCTTCTGAAACGGATTTTGATTGCGGAAAATGGTACTAAATCTTTTGAAACGCGTCACAAAGTTTGAAGCGTTTGACAAGATAATTCCAATACTTAATATTAAATATATA